CCACACGATCCTCTCAACATCGTGAACCTAGATCTGAACCCCAATCACCCAAAATCGGGCCCCCTCGACGTAGATCTGAGAAAAAAGCTTCGGCTTTTATCTTTTTTTCTGGTGATTATTCGTTTCCCTGCGAGATTTCACGGCGCGAGGCTTATGGTTGATGTTTTGGCTTTTATTGTTTTTGCATGTGGGTTTTGCTGACTGTTGGTTGTTGCTTTTCTTTTGGTTTTGACTGTGTTTGATGGGTTTTGTTTCACTATTTTTCGACTGTTCTCGGTTTGTGACTCGATGATTTTCGTGGGGCTTGGTTTTCTGGCAGTGTTGATGTTGGTTTTCTCTTGTTTACTGTGATGGTCGTTTTTTGTTGGTAGTGTTCTATTTATTGTTGTTTGATGTGGTTCTGGTTTGCTGATGGCCGTTGATCCCCCCACCGTGGCTTTGCAAAGCATTTATAGGCCTTCACCATTCGTTGTGGTCTCGAGAATAACGGGACGTTATGTGTTGTTTCGAGATCTTCGTGCATGTGTGACCGGTCATCTCGGGATGGGTCAGTCCCGGGATATCGGCAGGTCGTTTTGGGCTTGACCGTTTGACTACCTCTATGCGGCACTGTTGCAACCTGTGTTGACCTAAATGATATCTTAGGGTTTTTAAACCCTAATCCCCTATTACAGCACTATGACATACGTTAAACCCCTAATCTAAACTCTGGGTTGAGTCAAGCCCAACTTGGCTCTCTTGGACTTGGACCCCAAAATGGACCTGGACAATTAAAATAAAAATAAAATTAATAAAAGATAAAAAATAAAAAATTAATAAAAATTAATAACAACAACAATGATAATAATAATATTATATATAAAATATTTTTCAAAAACTATATAATATATATTTTCAAAAGTATTTTAAAATTATATATTATATTTTTTTTAAAAATATTTTCAAAATTATATAGTTTTCAAAAATGTTTTTAAAACTATATATTATAAGTTTTCAAAATGATTTCAAAACTATATAATATATATATATATATGTTTTTCAAAATGTTTTTTTTAAAACTATATATATTTTCAAAATGTTTAAAAACTATATAATATATATATTTTCAAAAATGTTTTAAAAACTATATATTATATTTATTTCTAAAATGTTTTAAAAACTATATAATATATATATTTTCAAAAATGTTTTAAAAACTATATATTATATTTAATTTCAAAATGTTTTAAAAACTATATATTATATACATGTTTTAAAAATATTTTTTAAACTATATAATATATATATATATATATGGGACGAAAATGAGTGTCTACAAGATACACGGACAAAGAAAACAACATTTAAGCTTTGGTTGAAAGGGTGAAAAGGTTTAAATGAAAAGAAAAAAAAAATGTTGATCAAACGGTTAGGTTACGAGATAGGAAAGGTGCTACAAAATTAAACATTGGTAAAAACTGTGGCTACCATTTAAGGCCTTCATTCTTTCTACTAATAAAATTTGCAAACTCTGTTCCCTGTTTTATTTAATTGGGTTCAGTCTTTATTTTACCAATTTCCCCTGTGTTTTCAATCGATACTCCCTTCCAAAAAGGAAAAAACTTGGAAAGGTCTGTGGATGGCATGCTATGCCTGAAGCAATACATATATACTAGAGATAAGGATGTCAAATTTGACATTTTCCATTAGTTACAAACATAAATCAACTAATGAATAGGGAAATCACATTTGCCATATACCACCTCATCATAAAGAGAACTTTCTCACAGTGTATGATGAGGTGGTATATGGGTTGCCATATTATTGTTTTTCTAAGGGTTTTATTTTCCCTCCTTTTCAGGTATGTTTTTTATGATGAATGCTTGAGAAAATATGGAAATGCCAATGTGTGGAAGCATTTTACAGACCTGTTTGATTATTTACCACTCACAGCTCTTATTGAGAGTCAGGTCTGATTTCAACTTTAGCAGACTGTTTAAGTTATTGTCATGATGGCTTCTGAAAACCATAGCATTTTGGTATCACAGATCTTTTGTTTGCATGGAGGACTGTCACCAACTTTTGAAACATTAGACAATATTCGACTTGGACCGTATACAGGAGGTATGTATATCAGTGATACTCTCAGCTTTCGTTAGTCATCTCCATGTTCAACAGTTCAAGTGGAGTACTGTTTTTTCTCCCCTATGTTGGTGTACTGGTAATTTGCCATATATATACTTCGATTCTTACGTAACCAATTAAAGTATGAAGACTTGTTAGATTATGAATGGTAGGATAGTTGAGACTTGAGAAAATTGCCAACAACTCAAATCTGAATATTAAAATTTAGGGTAAACAACGTATTTAGTCACCCAACTATTTGTGCAGTTCCGATTTGGTCACTAACATTTTTTTATAAAAAAAATCATATCTAATGTTATGTTTTGGTTTATTTTGTTCATCCACCGTTAAAAAATTAACAAAACTGTTGATTTGATATTTTTTAATTATGACATGACATTTTCTTAGGGTGACACATATGCACCATCGTTAATTTTTTAACGGCATGTGACCAAAACGTAAAATCAAGTATGATTTTGAAAAAAAATAGTTGGGTGACCAGAAAAAAAATTGCACGAATAGTTGGGTGACTAAATACATAATTTATCGTATAATTTATCAGTTCTGTTGGGGTCTATGGTGCCACTGAAATTTGTGGTCAAGTTGCCTCAATTCGTTGGTGCATTATTTTCCAAACTTTATGATGTTCATTCATTATTTGGCTATTTTGTTTTTATAATCCGGCATTTTGTGGGTACATGGTAGGTTCCCCATGAAGGAACAATGTGTGATCTTTTGTGGTCTGATCCTGATGAGCGATGCGGGTGAGGTATATCTCCACATGGTGCCGGTTATACATTCGGAGAAGATATTGCTGAACACTTCAACCATACCAATGGTCTCAGTCTGATTTCGCGAGCCCATCAGCTTGTGATGGAAGGATACAACTGGTGTCTGGTGTGGGAACCATTTCAAGACTTGTTTTCTAACATGTTTTGCTGTTACACAAGTATATTGATTACTTATTATGTGCTTCCCCTTCAGGACAAGAACGTGGTCACCGTCTTCAGCGCTCCGAATTATTGTTATCGGCTTGGGAACACGGCTGCAATTTTAGAGGTCGGGGAGAATATGGACCAGAGGTTTCTTCAGTTTGATCCAGCTCCCCGGCAAATCGAGCCAGACACCACACGCAAGACTACCGATTATTTCTTGTAGTTATAGTACATAATAATTAATATATGCTACTTGTTCCTACTTTTCAGCCTCCGTTTACTGATGTATGTCTGCTAAAGCTATAAGCTTTTTAGGAATGGTAACAGGGCGGGTTTAGGGCGGGTTTTGCTCCCCCGTCTCTGTCCCCGTCCCGATACCCATCGGGTTTTTTATCGGACACTTCTTCGGAGATTTTTTTTGTCCTATCTCCGAACTTGATCTGAAATGTTGTACCCGAACCCGACCTGATCCCGAGAAAAACTGTATTTTTCATTAAAAAAATAGACACTTCTTCGAAGATTTTTTTTGTCCCGTCCCCGAACTCGATCTGAAATGTTGTACCTGAACCCGATCTGATCCCGAGAAAAACTGTATTTTTCATTAAAAAAATAGAAAACTACATTATTTACAATTCAAACTACAGTCACAAATTCAAACTCAATTATGAATAATTGCCTAAACTCCAAAATAAAAACACATACATAATTATAAAAGCTAGGGTTTAAGGTTTATATGTTTAGAGTTTAGGGTTTATATTATATAATTAATATAAAAATATAAAATATTATATATATAATTAATATAAAAAATAAAAAAAATATTATATATATAAAATCGGGGCGGGGCTGGGCGGGGTTACCTTACCCCAAACCCGAACCCGAAAAAATCTCTGATACCCGACCCGACTCGAACTTGGCCGGATTTCGGATTTTCCCGTCGGGTTCGGGTCATTTTGCCATCCCTTAGCTTTTATATGAAGTTTTGGTTCATCTCCAGTTCATTCTTCGATGTTTAGAGTTTGTGCAGCTGCTGCACTGATAAAAGCTCGAATGGCCTTTTTGTCTTTGTATATTTCTCACAGTTTGCATCAATTTTTTTCCAACTAATTTCAATTAGTTGTTCCCAAGTTCTTTCTGCTGCATTTGGGGAAAAAAGCTAAACTCCCTTCTGATATTCCCCTGTTGTATGAAGATCTACCAGAGGCATCACACCGATCAGTTCCTGTACGCAATTTGCGATACCGAACATGTCTTATCAATCAGTTCAATGTAATGTTGGTAGGTTTTACATTTTTTAGAAATGTGATACAAATAAATCAAAATTTATGATTAAATTGATATTTTATCTAAAATTTAGACGTTAAATTAAAAATTAATTATTTTTAAGATATTACGTTATCAAATAAATTGATAAACAAAAGTAGAGATGGTTATGGACAGGGTTGAGTTTTTAATCTCTTAAATCTGACCTAAAAATTAAACCTCCTTCACGTGCATTTGAATCGACTAGGGTTATGAGGGCTCCACTCGATCCAAAATTGAATTCAATCTTTTTAGTCAAGACTTACACTTGACCTTATCAAACCTATATAAATTCATTTGCATTAGGTAAAAAAAGAATCTAATTAAAAAATAACATAGAGTTACTATTGTAATTACCCTAAATATATAAGATATAATTATATTATTATATTAGATCGAGTTTTTTCAAAGATTTTACCCTTCAAAAAACTCAAAACGACCCAAACTCATATTTTTAAAAAATAAAATAAAATTTGACTCGAATGGATCGGGTTGGGTTGAAACCCGTCGGATCCGGGTGAAATAACCATCCCTAAACATAAGTGATTAAAATGTAATATTTTAAAATTAGTAATCAAAATGTATTAATTTAAAGTTAGTGATCAAAATAAGATAGACTAAAAAATACAAGTGACATTGCTTGTAGTTACCCCTAATCCTTTATCCTCTCGGGTATGTCCTTTCAGCTCCAAGAACTTAAACCGGGATTAGCTTTGTTGCCGATACCTGTTTACGTTTTTTCACAAATGGCGATGGCAATAGCTTTATCATGCAGCCATCTCAGTCCTACAGCTACTAATAAACTCCCCCACTCCTCGATCTCTCCACCCACAACGCTTCCCTTCCCTCTCAATTCCTTCAGCCTCAAAGCCCCAATATTCCCCATTTGCCGTAGCCAGGTTGGTCTCTTAATGGAATTTCGAAACCCCTTTTCTTCAATTTTGCTAAATCACCGGTTTGTTACTAAATTTGTGTGTGTGTGTTTTAATTTTCAGTATGATAGCTCGGGTTATGAGGAAGCCGAGGCGGTCGACGAACCTTTCTTCCGTAATTTGGTTGAAGAGAGCGACGACGACGACGACGACGAAACAGAGAGCAGCGTGGATTTATTGATGAGATTCTTGCAGAGCATGTTCAGGAAAGTCTCGAAGCGTGCCAAGAAGGCTTCTAGATCTATCTTACCTGCTGGAATGTCGCCCCAACTGGTAAAATACTCAAATTTCTTCTTGGTCTTTGTCTTTGAATATTGTCTTGATGCTAAGAACTAACCTATGTGTTGTGATTTATTGTAACTCTATATGTTCACTTTAAATTCTCTTTGCAAGTGTAATTACTGCTAATGGGGCTTAAGTGAGTGTCTTATATATATATATATGGACATCGTAGTCGAATATGGATATATTTTCAGATATATATACGGACATCATAGTCATGCTTGAAGTGTTAATATTGTATTGCTGTGTAAATTAGCAAAATTGTTAGCTCTGAGGCTCATTTGATTTGCTTGTTAGTGCAAACATTGACTCCTATTGGTCGTTTCTCTGTATTTCGGATCTCGACCTTGGAAAAATCAGGTGTCTTTTGCAGTTGATGGAGTACTCTTATTGGCTGCACTTTCCATTCTCAAATCACTTCTTGAGGTATCAATCACTTTATCAGTTCCTAATTTCGTATATGGTTAAGATACCAGTCTATGTTACTCGGATACGAATATGTATCTGACACAGGTATGGTTAGTTTTTTTTTTGGTAAAGCTTTTCATGTATATTGACGTGGAGGCCACATCTTCGTATCCATATGTTGGGCACAAGTGTTGAACACGGGTACTTGAAGAAAAATGAAGAGTCTGAGTAACATAGGTGTCGGTTGATGCTGCTAGTATGATGTTTAAGCTTTGACTAACGCTTGAATACAGCAATAGATTTTCATTATCTTAAATCTATATCTTGTATGCTTTACCTTACATGATATAAATAAGCTGAGAATTCAGATGGCCTAAACCCTAAACCAAACCATTACTATAGTTGTTCATAAACCATCTTCCCCTTGCTTTGATGATGAAAATAATTGCCAAAATCCGAAATGATATGAACTATATTGATCACAGGTGGTTTGCACTCTTGGAGGCACTGTATTTGTCGTAATACTTCTCCTTCGCGTGATCTGGGCTGCTGTGTCGTATTTTCAATCGATTAGCAATGCTTTTAACCAAGGTGGGGGTTCCTTCGGCGCTTCACAGCCAATAATATAACCTCATCATTGGCTAAAGATGGGGTTTTGGAAGTTTTTTTTATACAGATGTGCTGCTGTTTCCTCTTGCACATTTGACTAGGAAAGGGCAAATATGACAGCTGTGTACACCTTTTTACACTAGTACTATTGAATAATTGATCATATGGCGTAAAAGAACCAGTTGAGATGTTAGGAACTCAGTTGAGCCTTCTTTTTGACATCAATGGTAGCTCTGTGGCTCATGTTGAGAAAGGAAGATTGGGTTTCTATGGTTTAACATAATGGCATTATTTACATCTTTGGCAACAACTAGAGGGAGCGTTTGCAAATTGTTTCTCGGGTTTTTCTAGGTCGTATGGTTCTTTCAGGACCAGCGTCGGTACACAACCAGTCGGGGTGATTTACCACGACTCTGTTCCGTCGTCACTTGTGAACAGAATGGTAAATCAGTTGCATCAAACGTATGTTCACCGTACTCGAATGCCGAAATCAACCGAGCACTGGTCGATACTGTTGAATGATGTCTGGAATTACTCCATTCAAGGGAAAATATTGCTGAATAATTATGTCAAACTATGTAAAACATAATACGTCATAAAAATAATATGATTATGGCACGCATATACAAACATGTTAGAATCTATGTAAATAAATTATTAACATACAAAAGTGTATAGAAATTTATAGTATTTAGTGAATATAAAATAATATAAAAATTTATTAAAATAACATAAATTGAATACAAATATAATAAAATTCACATAAATAATTTATTAAAATTTATCTAACTAAAAGTTTTATATAAATTTACAATATTTTAAATTTTTAAAAAATAAATCACTTCATTTTGGTCTAAGCAAAATGAGAAAAAAACCCTCTAAATAGTTTGTTTGTTTCTACCCTAAACTGGTATATAAATATGCATTAAGCATGGATTTAATCATTAGATATATAAAATTTTTAATTATTTTATATAAAAAATGTATAAATATACGAAGAAAAATACTAATTTTTTCATTTTCCAACTTCGATAATAATTATTAGCGATAGCAGGGTTAATTGTACCGAACATTACCCATTGTCATTTAAATTTTAAATTAATCTTTAAACTCTATAATATTTTAATTAAAATTGTTAAAATATTAATATTGTAATAATTAAATCTTTTCGTTAATCTAATCATCAATTTGAAGTCAACTTAAAATATATATTTTTGATTAACTTAAAATAATTTTTAAAAAAAGGATTTAATTATAAACCAATATATCTACATTATGAATAATTTACATCTGATAAAAGAAACAAATAATATAATTAAAATTTAAAAACATCTTTCTAAGACATTCAATTTAAATTATTTATGCAATAAACATACTCATATTTATAATTCGATTTATAATTTCACATCGTATTTGAAGTTTGAGGTCAATTTAGAACATAAACTATAAATTGGGGATGTCTGTTACAATAATCCTTATTTATACTTCGAGTTTTGTTTAGTTTTCTTCCCTCTTTCACTCCGAGTTTCCGAACTCGGAACAGCTTTTGCCATAGCTTTCTTTGACTTGCAAAGATGTTCTGCTTAACTCAACTAGCCAAAAACTAAACAGGATTTCTGAGTTTTCACCTTTCTTTTTGGGCTTGCATCACCACATTGCATAAGGTTTGATTTTCATCTCCCCTCTCTATTTTTCTCCTTTTGATTTCCTTATATTATTCTGCTCAAAATCATGAATCTTTCTGAAAGTCAATTGTTTGATGTGAAATTTAGGGGGGTTTAAATTATTTTATTATGAGGCTGATTTTTCACACGAATTCTTTGTTTCGTTGTTACGAATTTATGTTTTATTTGCTAGTAAAATATAATTTGTTATAACTACGAATTGAGAGTATAATGAATTAAAAATGTATATAATGTAGTAATTTTTACTGGGTTTTGCTTTTGAGTTGAAAAGAAATGCTCACTCGCTCAACTAAATGAAAACGAATGTTCCCCCTTCTGAATTCTAGTTCTTTTAGGCGGCCATTCCTGCCATTGTTATCCAAACTTGAAATAACCTAGCTGCCTTTTTCCGTTGGAAGGCAACATCAATCACCAAAGACTATGCATATCTTGTATTATCACGATTTCAATATGAATATGATTTGGTGGGTGATCTTTGGTTGAGCATATTTAATTCAGTCGCTTATGAACTGAGTATTCTTGAAATTAGTTTTGTTATAAGTGTTCAAGGATTTTTGGCGTTTATATGAATGATGTAAATGAGGAAGGATGGAAAATTTGTTAAGCAAATGATTAAGATTCATAACCACTTTCTTACTTTCTACCTTAACCCTTTGATTTACAAATGTTCAATCTTTTCTTATTTCAATCCTTTATACCAAACAAAGCCTTTGAGTTTTTCTGTGGCTCTAAGCTCCATCATGCCGCTTTGGATGAAAATTTTGGGTTAAAGATCTAACTCTAAGAGTTGCATATGAAATCAACTTTTTCTCTCCTTATTCTATATGTGGTTGAATGGATGTCTAACCGTGAACTGGATTGTGTCGAAAAGATGTATTTGGATGGCTTTGAAACAATTAAAATTGTGGTGAACTTTTAGAACAAAATAATGCAAAAATAAAAGTATAGCCATAGGTGAGTCCTCAACAGATTTTTCATTTTTTTGTTTATGTATCTAACCAAACGACAATGTTTCTATTCAATCTCAGGTTGAATTTCAGGTTTCCGCCATTGCCATCTTTAAAAATGCTGCTTGAGAAACAGAAAGCAAACAGATAGAAACCAAAAACAAAAGGCAGACATGAACCAAACAGAGTCAGAATTGCTAAAGGCCTTAACTAAAATCATACAAACCTCAAAAAACCCAACAGATTCCTTAACTCCTTACACTCCTCTCCTAACTCCAAACATTCTCCAGTCCCTGATTTCCTCTCCTTCCCTTTCCTCCTACCCTTCCACCCTCCTTTCCCTCCACAAACTCTCCCTTTCCCTCTTCCCTGTCTTTCTTCTTCGGCTTCTTTCCTTCTTTCTATTCTCCCTCCCCTCCTTTCCCACCACAAATTCTCCGATTCTAAGTCCCTCCTCCTCTCCTTCATTTCCTCTGATTCCCAAAATATCCTCTACAACTCCCTCATTAACAACCCATCTCTTTCTAAATTGAAACCCCTCCTTGAAATCTCAGTTTCCAGCTATGTCCAATCAGGGAAACCTCATTTAGGTTTTGAGCTTTTTAGTGTCATGAAAAGGCTTAAAAGGAAACCCAACTTGCTTACTTGCAATACTCTTATGAACGGGTTAATAAAATTCCCATCTTTACATTCGATCCAGTTAGGTAAGCAAGTCTTTTATGATTCTATTAAGCTTGGTGTTATTCCCCAAACAACTACTTTCAATATTATGATTTTAGGGTGTTGTTTAGAAGGTAAATTTAACGAGGCAATTTCATTTATTGGGAAAATGAAGGAATTTGGTTGTTTTCCTGATAATGTTTCTTATAACACAATTCTTGGGTTTTTCTGTAAGAAAGGAAGGTTAAAGGAAGCTGGGGATTTGTTGCAAGATATGAAAGAAAAAGGGTTGATTCCAAATAGGAATACATTCAATACACTTGTTTCTGGATACTGTAAGGTAGGGTGGTTGAAAGAAGCAAGGAAAGTTATTGACTTGATGGTGAAAAATGATGTTTTGCCTGATGTTTGGACTTATAATATGTTGATTAATGGGTTGTGTGGAGAAGAGAGAATTGAGGAGGCGGTTAAGTTGAGGGACGAGATGGAGAATTTGAATGTTTTACCAGATGTTGTTACGTATAATACATTGATTAATGGATATTTTAAGTGTGGGGGTAGTGAGGAGGGGTTTAAATTGGTTGAGGAAATGAGGGAGAAAGGGGTGAAGCTGAATGCAGTTACTAACAATATTTTGGTTAAATGGAATTGCAAAGAAGGGAAGATGGATGAAGCAAGTGAAAAGGTTAGGGTGATGGAGGAAAGTGGGATTCTGCCGGATAAGGTTACCTACAATACTTTGATTAATGGATATTGTAAGGCTGGGAAATTGGGTGAAGCCTTTGAGATGATGGATATGATGGAAAGGAAAGGTTTTAAGATGGATACTATTACACTTAACACCATTCTTCATACCCTATGCACGGAGAGAAAGCTTAAGGAGGCATCTGAGTTACTGACAAGTGCTAGTAACAGAGGTTATTTGCTTGATGAGGTTAGCTATGGTACTTTGTTAGCGGGATACTTTAAGGATGCTTTGGCAGACGAAGCATTGAAGCTTTGGAGAGAGATGAAGAAGAAAGAAATTGTTCCTAGTATCATAACTTACAACACCATAATTGGAGGGCTTTGCCAATTGGGAGAAACTGAGCAAGCAATGTGCAAGTTTAATGAGTTACTTCGGAGTGGTTTAGTCCCTGACTCAACTACTTACAATACTGTTATACATGTGTACTGCAAGGAGGGAAAAGTTGAGAAAGCATTTCAGTTATATAACAGATGGTTGAAAAGTCACTCAAACCAAATGTCTTTGCTTGTAATATTCTGCTTTCTGGTCTTTGGAGTGAGGGTATGCTGGAGAAAGCTCTGAAGCTCTTCAATACTTGGATTTCGGAAGGAAAAGTAATCGACAGGGTTACTTACAACACAATGATATCAGGCCTATGCAAGGAAGGAAAATTGGAGGATGCATTTCGTCTCGTCTCTGAAATGAAAGAAAGGAATCTAGGCCCTGATCATTATACATATAGTACTATTCTTGGTGCTCTCTTAAGCGTAGGGAGGATGAATGAGCAGAGGAATTCATGTCAAAAATGGTTGAAGTGGAAAAATTTCAACAGTCCTTACAGATAAAGGAGCATAATATCAAGACAAGTGAGATGACTGAGGTATATGATCCAGATTCCAATGCTTGCTCAGAACATATCATTGAACTGTGCAATCAGGGGAGATATAAGGATGCTATGCGCATTTTTGAAGCATCAAATCAGAAGGGAGTTACTTTAGATAAGTCCGCCTATATTGTTTTAATGGAAGGACTTATCAAGAGGCGAAAACGCTTATCAAAAGCTGTCCCATAGAAGTCAATATTTCCTGGAAGTGTTCAACAGGAAAATGTTATCACTTTGTGTTTGACTTAGATTGAACTGATTGGAGAGTTACCCCTTTCTTCACTTGGCCATGGATGAAGATACTTGAATAAGTCTGCCTGCATTGCTTTGACAAAATCACTTTTGATTAGGCATAAAAGCAAGCCGAAGCTGTCCAGTAGTAAGCAGTGTTTGTGGGCCAACATTTACACCATGTTTTTGACTTGGATTTAGCTGATAGATTAGAACCTCTGGTAAATATTTCTCTCTTCAATTGGTTATAAATGAGAAAATTCCTAGAAATTGCTTGGTTTTCATCCCTTTTGCATGGTCGAAGAAACTTCCAACGTTAACAAATACCTGATCATTATTTGGTACATATTTGTTTATTTTGTGAATGATTTTACTTAGTGGCACTCTAGTTGTTTGCCTTACCTCATAATTTTCTATTGCCGCATCCTGCTTATGTTGTTTGAAGTTTCTGAAGCCAATTTGATGAGAAAGATTCCACATAGATGTAAAAGGCAGTCATGTAAGTATGTGCATGTGCATAAAAATATAATAACCACCTGCATGCATCAATGTTGCTTAAATTGTAATTGGCTGTGATTTTATGGGATAACTCTTCTGTTAATAAAAGAGCATTACATATTAATGTTGTCCATCTGCATCGGGGAGTCCTAAGAAGTTGCATCATATGTCGGCCAAGTCAATTTTGAAACATTTATTCTTTGACTGAGATATGGCAAGCTGCTATTTGATAGTGAATGACAATTAAATATCTGCTAGTCATTATAGGTAAACTTGTTAGAGTAATGCAAAAGATAAATCCTTCATCAGTATTACAAAAAAATTTGTGTAATCATTTAAAACACTCGATGGCAAAAAATTAAAGAACCTAGGAACTATTGTTCAAATATATCAAAACAATATGATACGATCATCATAAGAAAAAGAACTAATAGCTGAGTAATTGTAATGATCGTTGTTGCCTATATCAATCTAGTTATCTTAAAACTATCTGAAAAATAGCACTGTGGATCTTGGCTATGTCATCCGATAATTCTAGAAGATGTAATGGAAACTTTGACAGTAAACCATGGGAAGCTGATCAATAACTGAAATGTGTACCGTATTAGGATACCATGTACTGTACTGGGTTTCGTTTGTTCTTTATTTCATAAGTCTGCGAGTCTAAAATCCATCGGATTGCTTGTGGTCTTTCAGGGACGATAATAGTTTGTTGGATCATGGTAGTATTTATGGCAATGGAATTTTCAGGGTTCTTGCAAGAGAATAGGACTTAACATGAAGTGATAGTTTATGGGTGAAAGTTGCTGGAAGCTGGATAAGCATGTTGGCCTCACATCCTTCAAGGCTTTTGTCATTCATAATAAGGTTTGGGTATATGTAAATGTAAGGCTCCATGGACTAGTGCATTGCTATTTGTCTTTATTATTATTATTATTTTCAAAAATGGGGAATCAAATAAACTATCTCCCAAAGTGTGTTTTGTACATTGGAAATTTTATGTATGTGGAGTTTATATTAGCAAAGAAAGGTCCCATATTCTTGGAAAATTCAAGACGAGATGAAAATGGATATATCCAACATTCATTCATAGACGTGATATTGATTTTAAAGATCATACATCTATAATAAATTCAAGTGGATGATGAAATAAGACTTATCAATTATAGAACGATAATGATTTTAACATTTATCTCGTTCACTTCATTATCATTCTTACTAAAAATATTCTTCTTTTCATTGGTTACGTTTAGCAACAAACCTTTTGTTTTTTTTTTTAAAAATTTTTTATTTACCGCTCGAGTTAAGTGGAGGATTTCGCAATTATTGAAAGGAAAAAGGGTTTTGGCTGAGAAGAATTTCACGAACGAAGGAGGTAGCACTATAGATGACTTGACTCTTGTTATTGTAATCTACAATGAATAGAATAGATTAATTATATATTTTATTCTTTTAATCAGTCTACATATTGTGCAAGTGGGCGTGCCGGAGTGGTTATCGGGCATGACTAGAAATCATGTGGGCTCTGCCTGCCGCTACGTTCTTCTAATTTTTCTTGTCATCTCTGTTTCTTGGTAAAGTAGGGCTTGGCTAAAGATAGACTCTATAGTTATTTATTAACTAAACTTGTTTTAAGAAAGCAAAAATATTTACACTATTTTGAGTGTTTTATAAGTTAAAGGTAAACTACAGTGGTGATGAGACTATGGTCGATTAACAATGATCATTGAACAGATTAGTATGGAAGACCATGATCCAGAAATTTGAAAGAAAAAAGGTTTTAAAATTGCCTCAAAACTGCTTTATTTTGAGATTAGTATGGCGAATTAAAATGGTGTTATTTTAATATTAAACTATATGTCTGATGCTTTGATATGAGATGAGATATAACATCAAGAGGGTACTACTCGGCTGTATACGTCTCCATGAAAAACACTGAACAGAGATGGAAGAAGCTTTGATAATTTCATCTGATGCTTCATCGGTTTCACATCAAACGAGGTTGATCCAAGTTTTGATGGCATGAATAGAGATGTAGGGACTGCCAGAAGAATTGCACATCTTATAAACATCTGCATTATCCGTTTGAATCCAAATTTTCTCATAACTGTTGACCACATTCATTTAAGACCTTGATAGAGTAAAGTACCCAAGTAATGCCGAGTTTGTCGTGGTGTTGACACTCTATTATCTTTTGATTTAATCAATATTTTACACTTTGTAAATAAATTATCTTCTGACCCTCTCTTTCACATTGTCGTATAGAACCCTCTATTTCACGTTGTTGTATAGATGGATTAAGGTAAGATAATTGATAGAAAAAACTATCCATTTTTTGGGTAAAAAAAATCACCAAATTAGTCATAAAACTTAAAAGTAAAATATTTACTGTAACTTTAGAAAATAAAAAAAGTAAATATAAACATTTATTATGGGAAAATGATGAAAACAAATTTCTAAAAGAATGTGTTGGAAAATTATTTTTTAAACTAGAGTGATTGTTAGTGTAATGAGGAAGACTCATAAAACATTACGAATTTTTAGCTTTGTTGGGGAAGATTTCATGACTATAATACATGTTCAACTTTTTTGTGTTGACAAATATAAAATATCGTGAAATTAAAAATTCGTTGCGACGAAACTGAAGACTCGTAATACTACATGAATCTTTCCTATTACAATGCAACAATTATTTTATTCTAGGAAATAATTCTTAAAATTTGAGAATTTTTCTTTTTTAACACATTATTATCTCGGCAAAATTGCCTATTTATTATTATAGTATTATTTTATTTTCTAATAGTTCATATGTCTCAAACATATTGTACCTAGATTCACTCAACGAGTGCAAACAAGGAGAAAGAAGGTAAAAACACTTTAATCAACTGAAAAATCAATCGATGGTTGCCGCCGCCGCAGCATTCAAGGCCTTGGCTTTAAACTTCATCCCAAAATCAGCAAGCTTATCAACGTCGGGGAAAACATCCTTCACCGCCGCATGGGAGGAGAAGCAATCTGCCCACGCCACCAAGCTCGGAGTTTTGGCTTCGGACAACACCTTGGCCTCCGTAAGTTCCTCGATAACTTTAATCCAAGCCAACAAACAACCCACCGCAAGGTCCACGTACCCCAGGTTATCCCCGCCGAAGAAAGCTTTCCCCTTGCTCAACTTCTTAAAGGCTTCCTCCAACACCACCACCCCTTCTAAAACCTCCGCCGTCGCCTCCTTCGCAGCTTCCTCCGTTGTACTAAACAAAACCCTTCTCAGGGCCGGAAAAAACTACATCACACAAACATACCAAAGAAAAGAAAACATGTTCATCGCAGTTGCAGACATAACCAGATATTAACACACAGTTGCGTATACATAAACATAATTACATACCTTGTCGTCGACATAGGCAGCCCAGAATCGAGAATCGGCACGTTCGTAAGGATCGGAATGGAGAATGGAAGGTGAAGAAGATGACGACCAGACCTCGTCGATGTACTGAACGATGATTAGAGACTCACATACGGGCTTATCGCCATGGATAAAGACCGGAACTTTCTTGTGAACAGGGTTTGATTTGAGAAGAAGATCGCTTTTGGATTCCAGCAAATTTTCCTCTATATACTCGTAGTCGACTGATTTGAGGTGAAGGGCGACTGTTACCCTCATCACGAATGGACTTGCCCATGTTCCCAGTACCTTCACGTAGCTGTCCGCCATTTTCTTTCCTCTTACAACCGTAAAAAGTTCTGTGCTGTTTGTATGTGTTATATGGCGGCGGCGGTGGTGGTGGTGTGATAAAAATATAAAGAGTGATATGACATGTGGGGCTCGAGAGAAATTTCCAGATTGGTGGCAGCTGTTTCATTTGATTTCCTGGTGATTTGTTGCCCTTTTTAAAATCTACGATAAATTTCATGTTTAGTACTTCAATTGTTAATTTAATCAAAATAAGTACATAAAATATTTTATGATCAAAATAAATACGTAAAGTATAATAGCCTTTTTCATTTAAGTAATTATTCTTTAATTAATGTTATGTATCAACTTTTTAGAATGTAAATAAAAAAATTGAATACTTTAAGTGCCTATTTTGATCAAAAATACTTTAAATATCTATTTGGACCAAAATGATAATATTATATACTTACATTGACCAAAATATAATTGAAGTACTTAAATAAAAAGTATTATATACTTTAAATACTTATTTCCATATAAACATGGTTAAAATAAATTAATGGTTTTGAATTAAGCAATCAGCAGCTAGAATATTCCTCCTAGGACTATCGATCGCTCCCATAAAATCCTCCCAAATTGGTACTTCCCAATCGTACAGGATTCTACGAATCTGAATGTTCCAAATCAACGCATCACTAGAGATGAACCCCAAATCTGCCACCATGCCTTCCCTTTTAATTGCCACATTGTATGTCCTGGGAAATGCCACCCTCAACGAAAGAAAGTCGGTCCAACACTCATTCCAAAAATTTGTGCTTTTACCGTTATTTGATTGTATTAATATATATGCATATCCCTATATTTCATGATCCAAACTGTTAAAAGAAAATGAAACTTTCTGCATCCAAAGCGTAGTGTTTATAATCTAGAATAAATAATAAATGTACATCTTTATATAATATCATATATAGTCTTTCACATAATTTATATAACTTTCAGTTTTAAAATAATTTATAATTCACCATTTATCATCAATCGAATGATGTCATATTAGTATTAATATTTTAAAATAATAAATGTGAACTTAATATTAAAAATTAAATATATTAATGCAAAAGGCTCACCTAGCCATATAGAGGGAGGCATTGCCTGTTATTTACAGTTATTGGATATATTTCTTCTTTTATATTTCAGCAGGTTATCAATATAAATTATATAATACCAACAAGGGTTGATTCAAGTGGTAAGCAGTTTGATATCGTTTAAGCAAAATCTTGAGTTTGTGTACTTATATAATGCTTTAAATTTCCGTGATATTTTAATATCAAATAAATGCATAACATACATCTGAAAATTTTATTAGAGATTTATAAAATTCTTTATTCCTACAAATTATCTAAAGGAAGAAGAATATAAATTTAAAAGGACCATATATGTATGATTCATTTAAATTCATGAACTAGCTCGTTTTTAAGTTTATTTATCGATTCATATATAAGCTTATTTATTTTATTTTATTTTATTTTCCTTTTACTTTTACTTTTCTCTTTTTACATTTTAAATATGGGTGTATTAGTGAAGTAAGGACTAAATTAAAAATAAGATAAATTGTGGAGTTAAAATTGTAAAGTCTAAGAAAATTAAGGACTGGTAAAGTAATTTTACTAATTTTCTTTGGTTTGCAAATAAAAGGCTGAAAAAGAGAGTATTGGTTGTAACATTAAACCTGCGTTAAATGGAAATGTTAACAAATATTAAACGAACATATTTATAAATATTAAAATATATTTGTTCAACTGTCTTTATTATTTTTAATTTTTAAATGGTAAACAAATATATTTGATTTATTCTTTCATTTTTTTCCCTAAAATCCTTTTATCTGCCCAACTGTCTTTACTTTTTGGGTCAAAATAGGTCGGCTAATTGGACTTTGGAAATAAATTTTCAACAAGTTGGCGTAGAGGATAGAGACCTTACTAAATGCTTGAAAATTGAAATTAAATTTTGGTACAATTTTATAAGCTAAAAAATGGTGAGACTTTTTCTAAAAAATTTATAAATGTAACTAAAAAGTATGATCTGATTAATAATTAAACTAATATTCAAAACTCTATAAATTTAAATAAAATTCATGAAAAATATTTATTTTTATTTATTGCTTTTATTTAAATCTTTTGAAAATCTAATTTCTCTTTTTAATGGTTGAGTCTGAACAACTCTGAATATTTAATATCCACAAATGTGTGATGGAGATTTTTCGGCCTTACATTATGATAGACAAAGGAGTGGATGGCAATAATTTTTTTTATAATAAAAACTTTATTTCTTAATTAATATTTATACTATCATACACGACAACTTTTAAAAAATTCCATCTCTAAGTTAATATTTGTGGGTAGAATCAACTAATTTTATTAACAAGAGAAAATATCCAGAATTATATTAAAATATTATAATCATAATCGTAAGTTAAACATTTAATAAAGATATTTTCTTATAATCATTGACACAAAAACTAATTACTCAATATACATAAAGACCATATAAGGAAAATGTCAAAACTTAATAAAAAAACTCGAACAAAAGATACATATAAACAGATCTAATTTCGTGGGCAAATGAACCATAAAAAGAGATAAACTAGTAAAAATCACAAAAAATCATAAATTAAGGTCGAGTCACATGAGAAAACTACCTACAAACGCAAATCGCGTATCCAAATCCAACCTCAGAGTCCAAAGCAGAGAATATTAACATGATAACATATAATCATCATCCTGATTTGTAACACCCCAATTTAGGGGCTAAAATTAAGAAATTATAAAGTGGCGAATTTAATTGATAATTTGAAAGAAACATTGGGGATTAAATTGTAAAGTTTTAAAGTTGGCAGACCGTTTTATAAAGTGTAGGAAATTCAGTGGCTAAACCCATGATTTAACCATTTCTTATATATGATGAATTATAAGCTCCTCCCCGTGCGCAGGTTTCATATTTTCCATATTTCCCTTCTCCAACAACCCAACTTCCAACTCCGATCTACTCGTCGTCCGACCTCCAAACGACGAGCCAAAACCACCATCGTGTTCGTTGTCAATCGAAGAACAAAACCCCTCAAACCTTTCGTCGTGAATCATCGCCGTTCGTCGTGAATTTCAGTCGGAAGTATCGTCGGTAATAACTCGAATTTTAGTTGGTTTTTCATCGATTCACGACGATCGGGTCATCTGTTTACGACACCTCCCGCACCATCGTGTTCGTTGCATCGTTCCGAGTTTGCCGGTGTCATCCTTGGTCTCCGTCGACGGCGGCACATGAGGAGATGAAGCGGTCAAAGTTTCCGATTTGTTGAAATCGAGCTCTCCGCCGTTCAAAATTGTGAACCGAGCTTTGTAAGTATCTCGAAATCGCTCAAAATAATTTTTAGAAATTTTTCCGGGATTTTAGCACTGTTAACGCGCCCCTACGCGCCGCCACTGCGCGTGGGGAAGAAAAAAATAACCGGTTTGACCGGTTTTGGTGCATAGTTGACCGATTTGACCGTCACAACCCGAACCGACCGACCCGACCCGACCCGTTGACCCGACCCGACCCGTTGACTCGACCCGTTGACCCGTTGACCGTTGACCCGTTGACCGTCGTTAACCACTGTTGACAAAAACTTTGACTGGCTTTGACCGGGCATTAAACGACCTTTGACTTCGACCGAGTATACCTATCCTGACATTTTTCGACGTTCCAAATCCGATTCCGATGTCCGTTTTTTTGAAATTCGAACCCGAAGGCCTCGAAATTGCCAGTCAACCCCGTTGAATTTGATTTTGACCAAAAATTCCAAATTTCCGAAAAGTCACATTTTATGCTTTCGACGTCCTAAATCCGAATCCGAAGTCCGTTTCACCAAATTCGAACCCGATAAGCCATCTTTCACTGATTTATCACCCGATTTGATCCGTTTATCGCAATTAAGCTCCGTTTATGATATAATTTATGTTGATATGTATCTGAGGAATTATTTGAAGTTGAATTGAAGATCAAAGGCATTCGAATGGAATTTTTATGGTCGATCGGTATTACACGAAAATCGAGGTAATACTTTACTACCTCTTTATGCTTTATGGAACATGTTGATATTGGTAAATGCATGAATAAGATAATGTTGGTCACTTTTGTGGAGTTTAATAATTTATTCACTCGATATGAATGTGGTAGAAATTCTGTAACTGAATACGGATCGAATGACTAAGATAAGAGATTGATAATTGTTAGAATTAAATTACAAGTTTGTGATTGGTGATAAAGAAATCAGCTCTGGATTTGTAACTTATATTTTATATCATCAAGGGTTAAATGTTAAAGATACTTGGATGAAAAATTATGAGAATACTCCGATATGGTAAAATTACGAAATTACCCTTATGTTGGAAAATGATAAGAATTGCCACTGGAAGTTGGTTAATAACTCTGAAAAGACATATTGATCCGATATAACTACTGATGTGCATAAGAAATTTTAGTTTTATTTGGAAATTATGGATAACCGGTTTTAATCCTATGAGAGTTTATGAAGGAATCATTTCAAAATCAAAGAATGTTTGGGAAATCAATTGATCATAGGATCTCTAAATTATAATTATTTTCGTTAAGAGCTAATATTGAAATTATCTGGTTAAGAAATTACGAAAATGCCCTTGAGAGATAAAATAGTCTGAATTGACCCTGAATGAGAGAGTACTTTGAGGATTTGTACTTAACTCAATTAAGTACGAATTTAATTGTTAAGATCCTGTCTTTGTACAGAAAAATTTATAATATTCCGTTTGTAAAATCTGAGAAGACACTTGACCCGAAAATATTCGAATAAGAGTAAATACTTGAAGAGTAATTTATCGGAGGTATTCTGCTGACAGAATTGTTCGAAAGGACTGAAGTAAATGATAAGATTGAATTAAATAATAAGACCGGATGGAAGGAAATGATTGAAATATTCTAGAATTATAAAATGACCAAATTACCCCTGGAATGGAAATGACTCAAGAATGTCACCAAGCTCAGGAATGAATGGATATACTCAAGCTTTGAAATGAATAGAAAAAAATGTTAAGCACCAAAATGACCAAAAT